CACCACGATTCCTCAACCCAGACTCACCACACGGGGCCCAAGCATAAAACCACACCGTCTAAGGCTCATACGCCGCTGAATACTCTCTTAAATATTCCCAAAAGCACCACATTCAAAATACCTACCCTAAAGGGACTTCCTACGAATCCAAAGCTATTACCTTTACCTTCCTGATACTGATATATTGAATCCCATAATGATATAGAAATACCATGAGTCTTGACACCCGCCAATGCAAACCTCAGTTTCTAGCCAAATACACAACTTGAAAATCTCCAATTATTACATGTACAATCTTGAACCCATTAGAACCATTCTCGAGAGTCATCTACTCTACTCAATCCGCAATTAGACCGTTCAAATGGACCGGACGACCTGTGCTCCAATAGCACTCCAACACCGCAGAGTGTAACCTCACCTTAATGCAACCAAGCAACTTCACGATCTATGCACCGCACATCCTTTACAAATAACAACTCAAGTCATCCCACGATTCTCATACATCCATAAAGCATAACATAACCTTTATTGAAATTTCCTTTACTCGAGCCATGCTCGGTCTCAACCTCCGTAAGCTATAATTGATTCACCAGTACGCCTCAAACTGGAACCAACATAGCACATAACCGTGCAATCAACTAACCAATAGTAGACTCCCCCACTTGGCTCAAAGCCATAGATCAAAACACACAATAACTCATAATGCATATGCTCTATTACTGCCATAATACCATAGTGAGATTGAACTACATTCTTCATCAGCTCGTGCAACACAGACCATCTAGTACTTCAAATCTTCTGCAAATCTCACATTCACCCTTGTAGCAGTCAAGCCAACTCTCTTCAGCAATCAAAATTCAAATTTTAACACATATATTCACTGGCAAAAGAGGTCTTCCAACCAACGACATAAGGATCACACAGACTTCAGAACACTCCGCAGGAGATAACCCACCTGCTTCGCCTCAAACTACCATCTCTTCATACCCTTCCACCGTCATAAACATTACGCAGTCACTTAATCTTCTTGAGTCTGAAATCATATCACAACGTGAAATCTACTTCGCTTCCCAACTAGGCAGCATGAAAAGTTCCTTCATCACACCTACAACTCGGGGCTATACTCTAAATCACGATGGAAATCAAACACCAAATAGTTCTTGCTGCCCAAAGCAGACCTTTCTCGTCTCATTCAGTTCATATGAACACATCTCACAGTCATATCACACTCATAACGTAACTATCTAGTCATCACTTCCCTTAATAGGGACACAATCGAACATATAGATCCAGAAACACGCGCTCGCGCAATCAACAGCTCAGGGCTCAAGCTATAGGCAAAATCCGGCCTCAAGTCTTCCAGATTGGCCCTACATCAACACACAGAGGTCACATCTCGCCCCTAGATCAGGGAATCACAAGCCATCGATGCACATCTAGTACTGAGCGCTCATGTGCGCATACGAACGCATGGAAGGAATTCAAAGAGTTACATTTCAAGCTGAATCAAGGACGCACGATAAGAATTCAAGAATGTGAAGTTTTTCCTAAAGGTTTTGCAGCCTCCCGAGGATAAGCACAGACGTCTCCGAACCGATCCGTGAGACTCTACTAAACCTGCTCATGACTCGCGAGACCTATGTAACCTAGGCTCTAATACCAACTTGTCACGACTCTAAACCCAGACCCAATCGTGATGGCGCCTTTCGTGAAGACAAGGCTAGCCGACACAAACCCCAAGTTCATTTAACAGATATAATGATTCATAATCAAGCCATTAATAGTGATAAATCCCAAAATTAAGCGAAATATATCAACTGCGGAAACAAAACACAGCCCAACATCGGGGTGTCACAAGTCACAAGCATCTACTAAGGTCTGAACACAACTAAGAGTCTAAAAATGTACTAAATATAGTCTAAGGAAGAAAAGAGGGAGAAAAACAATGCTGGGAACGCCGGGTAGCTACCTTGCTAACTCTGATGACTCTGCCTTTGAGCAACCAACACCCACTACCGGGTTCAAAATAATACCTGAATCTGCACACAAGGTGCAGGGAGTAATGTGAGTATGCCAACTCAGTAAGTAATAAAAGTAAATGAAAGCTGACAAGTAAGAAAACACGTAAGCCACGTCATAACGCTACAGCAAATACAATACATTTCCAAAACAGTATAGAAATCATTTACTCCATAAATCATGCTCAATATCAGCAAAAAACTTTTTAAACGAATTTCAATAGTTTCAAAACGAGTGGTAAAAACAATGAGTAAAAATGATAGAAACGCAAACAACCCTTTGGGCAAAACAGGTACCATAAATTTCCCCTCGGGCTTCAATATGAAACAACAACAGCCCCTTGGGCTACAACACATCACACGCACTGGGTACCCGCGCTCACTGGGGGTGTACAGACTTTGGGAGGGGCCCCTTATGGCCCAAGCGCAATAACAAGCCATCTCGTGGCGTAATCAATCCGGCCCTTGGCCTCACATAATAAACAGAATCATCACACTGGGTACCCGTGCTCACTGGGGGTGTACAGACTCCTGGAGGGGCCCCTTACGGCCCAAGCGCAATATCAAGCCATCTCGTGGCATAATCAAACAGGCTCTCGGCCTCATATCAATCACAAGCCACCTCGTGGCATAATTAATCTGGCCCTCGGCCTATCAAATATCACAATCGGTACCACATGCTACGGCGCACAGCCCAATCCCATAGTATCCTCACAACATAGGCCCTCGACCTTACTCAGTCAGAATTTCACAAGCCACACGTGCAACAGTAAAACAATTACTCGGCTCAAAATCATTTATGAAATCAAAAGAGTGAACAAAACTGAATTATGAAAACAGAAAGAATATAACATGACTGAGTGTAAACATTAAATCAAAACAGCGAGGTAAAAACAGTAGCAAAAGTCCCTAAGGGTCCAAACAATCGACACAAGGCCCAAACACGGCACTTAGCCCCAAACACAATGATATTTTCCAAGATATAACAATATCAAATGGTTTTCAAGTAAAATACGCGACTTAATAGTCGTACGAGATGTACCAAGTCAAGATCCCTAGCGGTGCACGACCCCACGCTCGTCATCTAGCCTGTGCATCACCTCAAAGTAGCACAACGATGTGAAATCCGGGGTTTAATACCCTCAGAACAGTATTTACAATCATTACTTACCTCAATCCGGTCCAAACTCTAGCTCGCGATGCCTTTGCCTCTCGACTTGACCTCCGGATGCTCCAAATCTATCCAAAACAAATTTAAACCATCAACATATGCTAAGGGAACAAAGCCCCACTCGAAAATAACCAATTTAGATCAAGAATCCCGAAATTGACCAACCCGACCCCCGAGCCCACGCCTCGGAATCCGACAAATTAACATCAATGGAATCCTTATCCTCTCACGAGTTCATACATACCAAATGTACCAAAATCCAACCAAAAATGACCCCTCAAATCCCTAGATTTAGGTCTCCAATTTCCAAGCCCTAACTTCCAATTTGCTACTGATTTTCCTATGTAATTCAAGCTTACAACCTTAAAAATCATCATAAAAACGAGTTTAGGGACCAAGGACCTTACCTCTAAGAAGCCCTCTTGAATTCTCCCTTCAATTAGCTCTCCAAAGCTTTTTCCCGAATGAAATATGGTGAAAACCCACTCAAAATCGCGAAGGGGGAAATTTATATATTCTGACCCAGCAAAACCGCACCTGCGGTTAAATGGTCGCATCTGTGCTACCGCTTCTGCGGTCAAAGCACCGCTTCTGTGGTTACTCACTTAAAACCCAGGCGCCGCATCTGCGATGCAAATCCCGCACCTGCGCTATCGCAGTTGCGCTTCGTTAACCACTTCTGCGGTTCCATCGGACACTCTCCTTGGCTGCATCTGCGATTCCAATTTTGCTTCTGCGAGACTGCACCTGCGGTCCCCTAGCCGCAAGTGCGGTTATGACAGCAATGGGAAAATCTTCAGCTGCCAAAACCCAACTCAAATCTTCGCGTCAACCATCCGAAATCACCCCAGAGGCCCCCAGGACCTCAATCAAAAGCACAAACAAGCCATATACTACTATCCAAACTTATACCAACCTTCAAAAAAAACCTCAAACAACATCAAATTAACCAAAACACATCGGATTCAAGCCTATGGTTCCAAAAATCTTCCGAATTACGCTTTTGATCAAAAAGTCTATCAAACCTTGTCTGAATGACCTAATTTTTTGCACACACATCACATGTGACACAATCGACCTACTGCAACTTCCGAAATTCCATTCCGACCCCTATATAAAAATCTCACCTATCAATCGGAAAACGCCAAAATTTCAATTTCGCCAATTCAAGCCTAAATCTACCACGGACCTCCAAATTACATTCCGATCACGCTCCTAAGTCCCAAAACACCTAACGGAGCTAACCAAATCATAAAAATCCAAATCCGAGATCAAATACTAAAAAGTCAAGACTGAGTCAAACCTTTCAAATTAAAGCTTCAAGCTAAGAATCATCCTTCCATATCTATTCCGATTAACCTGAACCAAAACCAACGATTTACATAAGTCACAATACATAATATGGGCTAGTCATGCCGGAGATTTGGCGAGCGAAGTGCAAAAGCTCAAAACGACCGGTTGGGTCGTTACAAACATCCTTTAAGATCTTAGATGTGGCTTCCAACTCCTTTACCTAACCAAATAAAAGATACCACTATAAATGTAGATATCTGTACAAGGAAAATAATTTAACTTAACCAATGACTTAATCCTACTACTTACTTGCTCCTTGAACCACTCATGAAATGTATCAAAATGCACACGGTCAAGTTGATGTTGTGTCAAACGACGCTTATGATGTGATCTCTTGATTTCAGCAATATGTTCCCAATTCATGTAACTCGCACATATCAATTTTTTAATTAAATAAGTAATATACATATATTAAATAATAAATATAGCACTTACTTTTTATAATTCTCAAGCACTTTTTACTCGTAATTGAAAAGCACATGCCGATGTGCTTGCAACCATATTTTCTCATCCAACTCAAATACATCTACTCCACCGTACGACTCCCCAACAATTGAAAAAAGATATTCTTCTTTACTATTCTCATGCTCAATCCCATCACCGCATTTTTTTGAACAATAAGACCTTGAATCTCCACCCTGCAAATATCGTGAGCAAAATGCCATACACTCATTTGCTATGTATGCTTCTGCTATTGAACCTTCTGGACATGCACGATTATGAGCATATGATTTTAAAGTACCCAAGAACCTATGGAATAAAATAATGGTATTAGTTTGATATTATAATATTTAATAACAAAAGATATATGATAAAGATTTAGTGATATTCTTGATACCTCTCAATTGGGTACATCCAGCGATAATGTACCGGCCCCGCATGTTTAGCCTCGGTTGCCAAGTGAATAACCAAGTGTATCATAACAGTAAAGAATACTGGGAGGAAAAGTTTCTCCATAGTAGACAATGTTTCTGAAATCTTTTCTTCAAGCAACTTTAACTCTTCTAGTTTAGTTCTTTGCTACACAGAACACGAAAGAATGTGCATAGTTCAATTAAAATGGAACAAACTCTTTTATCTACTGATCTCCGCAAGGCAAGAGGAAGAAGTTCTTGCATTATAACATGACAATCATGAGTTTTTAGCCCAGATATCTTTTGTTTGCGAAAGCAACGTGAGATATTAGACGCATAGCCATCTGGAAACTTGCCATTTTGTAGAACATCATAAAATAACTCCTTTTCATTATGCGACATTGTGAAAAAAGTAGGTGGAAGATATACTCTCCCACTAGCTCGATATTGAGGCCATAAACATGGTCTTATTTTCATCTCCTTCAAGTCCAATCGAGCTTCTAAGTTGTCTTTAGACTTTTCACCAAGATCCAATAATGTATAAATTAAGTTATCACACACATTCTTTTCTATGTGCATCACATCAAGATTACGGCGCACCAAGTTCGACTTCCAATAAGGAAGATCGAAAAAAATACTCCTCTTTTTCCATGTGTTTTTCATGACCCCACTTACCCCTTCGCTCGACTGGCCGAGAGTAAATTTTATATCTTTAACTTGATTTAGCACTAGTGACCCAAATACTGGACAAGGTGCACGTCTTGTTTCTTTAGTCCCATCAAACGATTTTGCATCATTCTGATATTTGTGTCCCGACATCAAGAAGCGTCGATGCCCCATGTAATAAAACTTTCTGCCATGTCTGAGCCTTCTAGATTGAGTGTTTATGTTACAAGAAGTGCATGCAAACCGACCATAAGTGCACCATCCAGAGAGGGTACCATATGCAGGGAAATTATTTATAGTCCACATGAGATCTGCTCGCATTTGAAATATATCTTTAGTGGATGCATGTATATTTCTACCCCAACATCCCATAATTCATTCAACTCTTCTATTAAAGGTTCTAAAAAGACATCAATATTATTGCCAGGTGCTTTTGGTCCAGGAATAAGTTAGGACAATATGAAGAACTCTTGTTTCATGCACATCCATGGTTGAAGATTATATGGCATTAAAATCACTGGCCATGTACCGTGAACAGTTCGCATTGTGCCAAATGGATTAAACCCATCAGAAGCTAATCCTAGGCGCACATTGCGTGGATCTCCAGTAAATTCAGGATATTTACTATCAAAAGTTTTCCAGGCATCAGAATCTGCAGGATATCGTAGAACTCCATCTTTGTTGTGCTCTTCATGATGCCATCGCATTGCTTTAGACGTTTCTGAAGACATAAACAATCTCTGTAGCCTTGGTTTTAAAGGAAAATACCTTAGGACATTGGCTGGAATTTTTCTAGCATCATTTTTCCATCTGGAAGCGCCACAAATTTTGCATTCACTGACATTCTTATTAGCGAACTCTTTCCTAAAAAGCATGCAATCGTTGGGACAAGCATGAATTTTTTCATACTTTAAGCCCAAGCCTTCAACTATCTTTTTGGTCTCATAGAAAGAGGGAGGTAATTTTTCTCCTTCAGGCAGTGCATCTTTTAAAAGTCCAAGCAGAGCATTAAAAGATTCATTTGAGCACTTGAACATGCATTTTGTATGATACATATGCAGCAAAATGGACAGTTTGCTAAACTTCTTACATCCAAGATATAATTCTTCATTTCCCTCCTTCATGAGCCGTTCAAACTTATCCACCTCTTGATGGGGGTGATTTCCAGATGGATGAGATATACTCTCCTGTAAGTTTTTCTCTATGCCACCTATTTCACTAACGTCAGTATCCATGAACTGTGTAATACCTCCAAATGCATCATGTATCATTCCTCTCTTATCATCGCTCCTTTAAGTTGACTGGCTGCGGTTATTTGCTCGAGCATTGTTTGATCCCTTTAGAGACTCCCCATGACAAAAACAAGTGTCATATGATTGTATAATACCATTATTAACAAGATGATCGTATGCTGTAACCCGATTTACTTGATGGATAAGCACACACTCCGTACAAGGACATGCAATTTTTTCTCCTTCTTGTTTTTCAGAAAAGGCATGATTTAAAAAATCCTCTACTCCATCCAAATATTCTTAACTAATTCTATCATAATACATCCATCTTTTATTTCTAGGATTGTCCATGACGTTCAAGATATTCTTATCTTTTGTATAATTGCTGCAAGAGCTAAAAATTCATTAGTAAAAAGGAGAAATTAATAAAAATGTAGTTCAAATATATAAAATAATCATCCTATTAGCAGGTAATTCTATAGCTCAAATATATCATTTTAACAATCAAAACTATCAAACATAAATCTATTAAAACTATCATTTTAACAATTGAAACTATCTCTAATTTCTTCTATGGTTTCACATATTGGTTCATAAATTTTTTAAAAATAGAATTATTAAACTTCTAAATTATACTTCTTCTATGGTTTTCACATATTGGGAATAAACTTTTTAAGAATAGAATTATTAAACTAAAAATTTATAGAAGAACCATATATCATATATTTTAAAATTTTCAAAACTTACTACTCCTATTTGTTGACTCTCTAGATATATACTCCATTTTTACCAATTTGTTTAAAAATCTTTTGTTCATTAAGTGTCAGTTTAACTAGTTCTCAAGATATATAGAATATAAGTTAGTTTATATATTAAAAGTATAAAATTATAAATAATAGTTTTACTAATAAACAAAGTTTATGCGTCCAAGTTCATAATATTTCCCCAAAATATGCAGGATAAAGGCTCAATATGGTTAGTTAGTATCAAAGCTAACTAATGTATCATCTTGTAAAGCTAACGGTTTTCTCTTAAAAATGTTAAAGTCATAAATGGTACAATGAAAGGTGCAAAGGGCTAGGAACAACGACGATAACTTTCCTGTACACATGAATGCTGCTACAAGAAGAAAACATTGAAGGTATTCTTGGAAATCTCATATATAGTAAGAACAAAGAAATACATCGGTTACAAAGATTTTCATACAAAAAACAGTGACAATGATGCATAGCCTTCTTGAGAAGCCACGAAAAGTGAAAATGATACATAACACTTGGGACTCCTAAAAGAAATTGGCCCAATCCATTACGTAACATATCATACACTAAATCAGTCTAGTACCAGATGTCAAGTTTTGATCCCACAAGGAAGGCATAATAGGAAATGTCTTCCTGATCATCTCCCTAATAGATAGCATTCAAACTACCAAAATTATTATTAATCCATTGCATTAAACCAATTCAGATATAAAACATAAAATATACTTTTGGGGTAATTTTTGCAACAACTAAATGTTGAAAACAGAGGTACCATATGGAATATTGATGGACGTGAGTTGAAAACAGAGGTGTTACCTGAAGGTGCATTACATGTGCTAGACAGATCTGGAAATCTTTTTAATGTAGCAGATGTTCGAACTAATGAGAAAAGGCAAGTTGAAGCGGAAAATATAGATTTAAGAGAATGCAAAATGATTCAACCAATTTTATCGTGAGTTAATTATTGTACAACAAAGAATAAAGTTCTGTATATACTCTTTTATCTCATTCTTCTATTATCTCTATTCTCAGTTATTCGATACTACTATTTTTTGTCTAGATTTCACTTCGAATAGATACTTTTAGTGTTGAAATATAAGTAAAAGATTATTCTGATCCTTTCAGACCTTCACGCAGACAAACTAACCAGTTTCAAAATATTTTGCGAACCTTTTAGACGCTAAAACTCTTCTTTGTAATGAGGTAAAAATCAGTAATAAGCCTAATAATGTACTAAATCACCAACTAACAATAGAGTAAAAATACTATATATATATATATATATATATATATACAAACTTGGTTGAATTCATATCTCGACTACCGGCATTCAACTAAAACATCAATGTGCATCAACTGACACTTAGAAAATTTCTAAAAAATCACAAAAATAACAGTAGCCTTAGAAAACAGAGGAACCAATTCAAGAACAATAGAGTAACAGAGGAGGAATCAATTGAATCAATCGACTATCAATCTAACAACAACCAGATATCACAAACGACAGAAAAAGTTGTACTTTCACTAATCCCAAAAGGCCGTAGTTGGATATCAAAAATCAAAAATCAAAACTGGAACCTGGTAAGCAGAAACTTTTGTCGATTAAGAGCAGAAATTGAAGGAGACGAAGGCTTTCTGCAATAATTCTTGAAACCTACACGAAACAGAAGTTGAAGACGAATGAGATTAAGAAGATTTACAGTGACGATTGATAATAATCAAGAAGCATCAACCCAAAATTATATGTAACTCGATCGAGAACGACCTGGGATGGACGGAGACTGTGGCAGGGCGGAGGCTTTTGCAGTGATACTGTTAACGCGCAGGTTTTCCTTGCGTCGTTCTGCTGTATAGTTCTAATTACAGGGTTTGTTTTTTTCTGTTGTTTTTTTAATTGGAGGGTTTTCTAAGTGGAGGGAATGTAATTTCTTGTCCCAAAAAATTGGATGGAAATATTGTATGTAGGGAAAGTTAAAATAATAAAAAATTTAATTCAATTAGGGATTTTTAGTGGCAATTTTTTTTATGGTCGTTAAAAGTAAGTCTTTTACTGGCCAATGGTCATGTGACCCCAATATTTCAGCTTAAATAATTCATTAGTGCCAATTACCTAATTGCCGCTAAATAATTGCCGCCAAAGATATTTTTTGTAGTAGTGAAAGTAATTAATATTACAAGCCAAATGTAAATAAATTACAGGAATGATAATAGTATACTATAGGGAGCCTGGATAGGCCCAAAGCAAAACTTGGGGAACCAGGCCTTCAAACAGTCTCAAATGCCACATCTCATAGTGCTAGGGAGGGTATCTTAGTGTTTCAAAGTTCCCAAGGGCCTCAAGGACCCAGGGCAGTGCTCACACCAAGCCCCCCTTTAAAGATCAACAGCTTGTGCAGTGTGGAATAACCAGCCCCAGTGTGTCAAAGTTCAGAGGGGTCTCATGGACTCCAAAGCAATTCTCACACTGGAGGGGCAGGATCCTAGATGTTTTAAGAATTTGAAGTGGATAGTGATTTAAAAGAGTGGTTTTGAGAAAAAGCAGTTTTAGACTTTCAGGAAACCAGAAGCAAATAGAGTCATTCAATTCCTGGAACTTAGGCAAAGGTTCTAGCAAACAAATAGCATTCAGAAATGGGATTACTTAAGTTAGCTATTACTAAGTAACCAAACACAAGGCAAGGCATGCTGAGGATCAAACAACCACATACAAAAGGGAAGCAAGGATTGGGGAGTAGTGTTGGTCAGGAGTCTGTGAGAATTTGGAACAGAAAAGACTAGTGGGAAGTAACAGACATAGATCCAATTTAGACATGAATAAATATGCAAATTTGCTGAAAGCAGAAACCCATAATTCTATTTAATAAAAAGTAAACATGCTATTGTAGTAAACACATGTATTGGGCAGCAGTAGGCATGCTAGTGCAATAAACACATAGATTGAACATTAATTGACATGTTAGGAAACACATAGTCAAACATGCTATTGAACATACAGATTGAACAGAAGTAACCACATAGACTAGACAGAAGCAATCATGTTAGTAAACACATGGATTAAACAGAGGTAGACATGCTAGTAAACACATAGATTGAACAGAAGTAGACATGCTAGTAAACACATAGTTTAATTGAATAGCAGTAGTGGAGGCATACTAGTTGGAAATTTGCAGTAGGAGAGTAAAGTAAATAGGATCCAAGATCAAGTCTTGGCTTCCAGCCGACTAGATTGTGCAACAGACAAGTAGTAGTAGATTGCAATAGAGAGAGAGAGCAAGAATTTTTAAGCTTTTTTTCCTTAGGTCTGTGTGTGTGTTTGAAAACAGAATCATGTATTTATAGGAGTCGAGTAGTGTAAAGTAAAGAAGGTAAGGCAGCTTAATTGTCACGACTCAAACCCTGCTCTGGTCGTGACGGCGCCTCTCGTGAAGACGAGGCCGGCCAACTAATCCAACTCGTCTTTTCCAAAAATAATTTAAACATGAATAAACAGCTAAAATATGACTTAATAATATTAATTTGCGGAAATACAACCCAACACAGCCGTAATCGGGGTGTCACAAGTCACGAGCATCTATTAGAATGTAAGTACAACCACAAGGTCTAAAAGTACACTAATCAAGAATAATGAACAAAGGGAGAAAAACGATGCTGCGAACGCTGGCAGTCACCTCGTTAAACTCCTATATCTCTGAGTCTGATCAGCCCAACCCGCTACCGGGTGAATAAATACCTGCATCTGCACACGGGGTGCAGGGAGTAAAGTGAGTACTCCAACTCAGTGAGTAATAAAGGTAAATAACAACTAAGCGGTAAGAAATCACGTATGACATATCATCATGCTATATAGAAGTAATGTAAAACCCTTGAGAAAAGCAGTTAAGCTGTGAAATCTTTAGAAATATCTTAGCTCAATTTAAAACCTCTTTTGAAAATGACTTTTTCAACAGTATGCAAACGAATGCAAATCAAATAGTGCAGATAAGCACAGAAGTCCGCCCCTCGGGCACCACACTCAATTAACAGATAATGTCAGGCAATCCGGTGGATATCACATGAAGTAGCATAAACAACAGGTAAATGCAGACAAATGAAATAAAGTAAACACATAGAACAGTACTAGTACCGCTGCGGCATGCAGCCCGATCCACATATCGCTGCGGCGTGCAGCCCGATCCGTTTATCGTCGACGGCGCTCACTGGGGGTGTGCAGACTCCGGGAGGGGCCCCTTACGGCCCAAGTGCAATATCAAGCCATCTCGTGGCATCAAGTCTAGGCCCTCG